TCCTTTCAATATTTCTATATTGCTTATTTTTAATTCCGAATTTTAGATATCTCTAAATTGTATTCCTACATGGACTCTCTTTTTCTTTTTTTCGATTAATGTGGGAATTTCTAGCACCCACAGCGAACTTGGTGCCTCTTTTCAAGACTGTTTTAATAATATAACTAGTTAGGCGGCCCGCGCAATTGCGTGGCTAGCATCAATTTAAAATTATCTATTTTTTACACATGATTTTATTTAAAGTTATCATTCCCGTGATTCTAATAATTTTATAGTTTTTAAAAGCCACACCAGTCTTTATCCATTACTTCCTTGTCACCTTTTTATTTGCTTACTTGATCTACCACTACCTTTACTCATCTTCTTTAGAACTTTTAAAATTAGTCCTTATAGTTTTTAGAGTTCATTGTTTTGTTGGGTTTCGTTTTCATAATTTTTAGAAGTATCTTCCAACATCGCCAGTTTACTACTCTACGGCCCGTCCGCTACCACCTCTCTTTATTGTTATTGGGATTTTAAAAATCGAACATAATTATTGTTTGTGTTCTTTTTTTACATTTTATAAGTCTCGCCAAATCATTAGTGACTTCGCCACTATACTCCTCTACAGCTCACCTGCTCCCTCCCATCCTTATTGTCATTGAGATCTTAAAAATCGGATATGATTATTATTGGGGTATATTTTCACTCTCCTTAAGTCCTGTCAACCGTCGTGACCATGCTGCTTAACGGCATGCCCATCGTCACTCCTCTTAATCATCATTGTGATTCTGTTTGGGATTTTGTTTATAGTTTTTAGATATCCCATCAACCGCTAGTACTCTACCTATTGCTTCTCCCCTTTTTATTGTCATTTGTCATCGTTGTGTTCTAGATGGACTTTTTTTTTAAATTGCATATTTTTCATTCTGATAATTTTTATTCATAAATTATATTCCTACTTGAACTCTTATAATTATTTTTCTACTTTTGAAATTTATTTTATTTGTTATTTTGAACTTTAATTAATCTCGTCATGTATTCTAGATTGTGTCTTATTTCAATAGTATTTATTTTTATTACAAATTTTAGTATTTATAAATTGTATTATAGTTGAGATCTTATTTTTCTTTTTCTATTTTTCTGAATTTATTTTATTTTTTATTTCGAATTTTAATTATTCTTGTATTGTGTTATATATAGACTATCTTTTTAATAGTTTTATTTTCCAATTTCAATTGTTTCAAAATTATATTCCTACTTGAACTCTCTTTTTTATTTTGATTTTTAATTAATATCGTATTGGTTTATTATATGGACTCTTCTTTCAATATTGCTTATTTTTAATTTCGAATTTCAGTTAATTTTAAATTTTATTCCTACGTGAACTCTTCTTTTATTTTTTTTTCTAATTTCGGATTTTATTTTATTTTTATTCTGAATTTTAATTAATCTCGTATTGAGTTCTTATATGTACTCTTTTTTCGATATTCCTTATTTTTAATTCCGAATTTCAGTTATTTTTAAATTGTATTACTACTTGGACTCTTCTCTTTTTTTTTCTAATTTCGGATTTTATTTTATTTTTATTCCGAATTTTGATTAATCTTGTATTGGGTGCTTATATGGATTCTTCTTTCAATATTGCTTATTTTTATTCCAAATTGTATTTCTACTTAGACTCTTCTTTTATTTTTTTCGATTAATGTGGGAATTTATAGCCCCCCACAGCGAACGTGGCGTCGCCTTTTAAAGTTGTTTTAATAATATAATCGATAGATAGATAGATTTGAGATCGTCAATGGTAATCTATAGAACTGGCTCCTTGTCAATGATAAAAAGGTAAGAGTTTCTCTAAAATCATTGGATTGTTACCTATTTTCTCCTTTTTACTTTACGACAGTTCTTGACCATCTATCTATCTCAAAACAAAGTACTTGACGAATTATTTTTGAATCTCACAACGGTGCTTTCTAATGGTAGTAAAAATAAATCTAGCTAAACCGTAGATTCTTTTCTATTCAAGGGATCAGACCTATTCGTACTACCACCATATTTAATGGTAGTAGAAACGTGCATGGGAGGATAATTTTGTAAATTTGCATGTTAGTTGGAAACGCTCGGATTTTTGGGTCTTGCTGGGCTGAGCATGCGGGGTAGCGTTACAGAGCGAGGAGTGGAGGTGGCTGGTGTGCTGCCGGCAGCTGATCAGCAGCGATAGATGCGAGTAGTTTATTTCTTTGGTTGGCCGTCTCCTGCCTGCGGAAAGAATTAGGACTAAACATTATAAAATTTACTACAAGAGATAAAGATAAAAGTCTGAACTTGACGTGCTAAACTGCTACTGTTTTTTAATCAGCATATCAGAGCGAAGCTTCTGTTCTCTTGCTCATCTGCTTCAATTGAATCCCACTCTAAACTATGGGACCTCTAATAGAGTCTACACTGTTATAATTCAGAGAATGTGCTTTATGATTTACATGTTAATCAGCGACTATACTACAGTCTGCAGTGCAACAGTTTTTATCTTCTACTTCTCTGTTCATATTTGAAACCGGACAATGAATTGAAAAGAAAAGGGAACATAACGGCCTTGTGAACGCGGCCACCGGAGCCGCCGGCGCCCGGCAGGACGATTTGCCGACCGGCAACGGAAGGATGTGCCGTCGAGTAGCCAAGCGATAGATCTAAATGTACAAAAACTTTTTTTTTAATGAAGAGTGGATAATATCCTAAATACCAACCTTACCTTTAATCACTAAGTTAGTAAAGTACTAAAATGTCCTTATGAATCAACGGTTTAAATCAATTCTACTAGTTGTATAATACTACGATATAGAGTACCGGAGCATCGCTCTTTATTTTTTGGGAATGCTATGGATCTGGAATCGCAGATTAGGTTTCATTTAGAGCAAGTTTAATAGTGTAGCCAACTGCTGACTCTAAATCATCTATAGTCAACTTAATAGTCAATTCATACAATAGTTACCTATAAACATATACTACACAATTAATATCTAGTCCCACCTGTCATACACACATGCATTTTGGAGTCCGTGCTGCAGCTGGCTACAAATCTGTAGCCCGCTACTCTTCTCTCTTATCTTTTATCTCCTCGAAATGTGTTTATAGTTAGCTTATAGGCTGCTATTGTACCTGCTCTTATACATCTATAGTCAAATTCATCTACACACACAAAAAAACCGACCGTAAAAATTATGATTGAATTCCCAGTTAGATTTGCTATATACTCCTACCTATCCATATAGATTTTTTTTAGAGAAAAGGTCACAAGGACCCGGCCTATATTGAAAGCCAACCTCGAGCAGAGTTTTTGCTGGGGTTACCAGCTTTACAAAAAGGAGCACAGAAAGCACTCGGAGATGATTACGTACCAACAGACAAGTGATATATTAAACCTCTGAAACAGACCGAACGCCAAAAACATTGCATGGGGCTAGCAAGATCAACCAACTCCTATTCTATTTTGTCTTAGAGCAGGTCCTCCCTCCTTCAACCTCTTTACCGGCCAGCTTCTCTAGATCACTCTTATTCATCTCCAGCCGATGCAAAGTGTTGAATAGTCTTTATATTGATTGTGGAAGGACAAATGACATAAGATATAAGTGGAAGAGCCCCTCACCTCAAGGCTAGCTTTTGTGATGGGAAAGACTATTTACGATCCTACGCAAAGAACTCCACGGCAATAAGAAAGAGACAATTTGGAAAGGTAGATACGATGTTGTTTCTCGTTGTTCATATATAGAGTCCAGCAAATGGTTAAATTCAGCTCTAATGTCAGCAAGGATAAAGAAGTCATCAAAAGCTCTAATGTCAGCACGGATAAAGAAGTCATCAAAGTTAAGAGGAACATAATCCCAGTTGAGCACATCTCTACATAAACACCAAACAACCAGTTCAGCACATCTCTACATAAACACCGAACAAAATACGCCAAAGGGCAGCTAAAGATTATGTACATCTCTACAGAAACACCAAACAAAATGCGCCAAAGGGCAGCTAAAAATTATGTACATCTCCACAGAAACACCAAACAAAATGCGCCAAAGGACAGCTAAAGAATATGTGGTTTGTAGTTTCTAGATGGACAGTGGAGAAAAAAATTCTAATTTTAAAATCAGTAACACCAAACAAAATGCGCCTAAGGTCAGCTAAAGATTATGTTGTTTGTAGTTTCTAGATGGACAGTGGAGAAAAAAAATCTAATTTTAAAATCAGTAACTAGAGGGTGAGCGTGTACGGTACGGTGTTAACACGGGCCACGGCCGGCGGGGAGCACAAAAGTTACAGTCTCTATATTTATTTTAGTGCTAGAGAAGACACATATAGTAAGGCCCTGTTTAGATTCTAACTTTTTTACTTCAAACTTTTAACTTTTTTGTCACATTCAACTTTCCTACACACATAAACTTTCAACTTTTCCGTCACATCGTTCTAATTTCTTTAAACTTCTAATTTTAACGTGGAACTAAATACAGCCTAATATATGCTACTCCCTCCGTCCCAAAATATAAATATTTTTAAACTTCGACACGGTCTTCGAGATACTACTTTGACAAATAATATCTATGTTTTAACTAAAAAGAGTTGTATATTATGATAATTTGTTTAATGATCAGTCTAGTAACATCAAATTGACATGATCAATCTTTTTTCTTTTGCTATTAATAGTCAAAATTTAAAAGGTTTGACATCACATTACTCTAAAAATATTTATATTTTGGGAGGGAGGGAGTATCAATCATTTGAAGAGTTCAGTGACATTGTACCCTAAGGACGAAACGAATACTGGTTTGACTTACTCTTGTTTCGTCGTCACGCGCCAGGCCGAGAACGGGTCCAATGGAGGATACCTCAAATACAGACTCAGACTGGCAGTATAGGAAGTTGTGTCGTTGCTCCTCCAGCTGGAGAAGCCGATCAGTACACAGTACTAGTATCACAGTACTGTATCAGTATCACCTTGCACACGATCTATCGACGCTGGATCGCCGACGGCGATGGCCGGCTTTTCGTTGACCACTTGTGCTACCGGCCTCGTCATCTTCTTCTCCGTCTGCTACCTGCAGCCTCCGGCTCCTGTCGCCGCCTTGTCCTTCAACTACTCCAACTTCAGCTCAAACAACCAGAACATCGAAATTGAAGGCAAAGCCTCCATCCGCGTCGGGTATATTGACATCAGCGCGAACGACGCTCGGGACATTTTCACCAGCGCGGGACGGGTATCCTACAAGACACCGGTGCAGCTCTGGGACGCCGCCACCGGCGAGGTGGCCAGCTTCACCACAACCTTCTCCTTCAACATCGTCACCCCGAGCGATAGGAACAACAGGGGCGACGGGATGGCCTTCTTCCTCGGCAGCTACCCATCGAGGTTGCCAAAGAATGCCTCCAGTAGTGGACTCGGCCTCACCAACAAGTCCTACACCAACGTCTCCACCGGCGAGGACCGGTTCGTCGCCGTCGAATTCGACACTTATCTAAACCGCGACTTCGACCCCAACGCAACCTACGACCACATCGGCATCGACGTCAACTCCATCGTATCTGTGACGAACGAGTCCCTACCAGACTTCAGCCTCAACGGGAGCATGACCGCCACCGTCGACTACAACAGCAGTTCGAGCATCCTGTCAGTAAAGCTGTGGATAAATGACACAACGAAGCCGCCTTACAACCTAAGCGACAAGGTTGATCTCAAGAGCGCCTTGCCAGAGAAGGTCACCATCGGCTTCTCGGCGGCAACGGGCGCATCAGTTGAGCTACACCAGCTGACTTCTTGGTACTTCAACTCGAGCCCGTCGTTCGAGCATAAGCATGGACGTGCCGGAGTTGAAGCGGGAGCAACCGTCGGGGCGACGTTGTTCGTTGTGCTGCTCTTCACTGTTGCAGCTATCCTCATACGGCGACGTCGAATCAAAAACAGGAAAGAGGCAGAGGATGAGCAGGACATAAGCTCGGACAGCTTAGACGACGACGGCGAGCCCATCGTGGAGATCGAGATGGGGACTGGGCCAAGACGGTTCCCATACTATGAGCTCGTTGAGGCCACCAAGAGCTTCGCGGCGGAAGAGAAGCTCGGGCAAGGCGGCTTTGGCGCGGTGTACCGAGGCTACCTGAGAGAACAGGGCCTCGCCGTCGCCATTAAACGCTTCGCCAAAGATTCCTCCAAGCAAGGGAGGAAGGAGTATAAGTCGGAGATCAAGGTGATAAGCCGACTACGCCACCGCAATCTCGTGCAGCTCATAGGCTGGTGCCATGGCCGCGATGAACTCCTGCTTATTTACGAGCTTGTCCCCAACCGTAGTCTTGACATCCATCTCCACGGCAATGGCACCTTCCTCACATGGCCAATGAGGTTATCAACCCTCGCTAGTTCTATCTCAATCTTTGTGACCGTATTAATTAACATATATTGTTAAATTAAACTTAATAGATTAGCTAACTTATTTTTTACAGGGTCAAGATTGTTCTTGGGATTGGATCAGCCCTCTTCTACCTTCATGAGGAGTGGGGGCAATGTGTTGTGCACCGTGATATCAAGCCGAGCAATGTCATGCTTGACGAGTTCTTCAATGCCAAGCTAGGCGACTTTGGGCTCGCAAGGTTCATTGACCACACTGTGGGGATGCGGACAATGACTGCAGTGTCCGGGACACCAGGCTATGTTGACCCTGAATGCTTGATCACCGGCAGAGCAAGCGTAAAGTCTGACGTTTATAGCTTTGGCATCGTCCTGCTAGAGGTGGCATGCGGGAGGAAACCGATGAGCCTACTAGACAGCCAAACGGATGGCGTCTTTCGGCTGGTCGAGTGGGCTTGGGATCTGTATGGCAAGGGAGATGTTCTCAAGGTTGTCGACGTGCGTCTCAACGATGACTACGATGTTACAGAGATGGAGCGTGTCATCGTTCTCGGGCTCTGGTGCGCGCACCCTGATCCGAGCGCGCGACCTTCTATTAGAGACGCCATGGCCATACTCCAATCGAGTGGAGGCTAGCTGCCGGTGCTACCGGCCAAGATGCCCGTGCCGACGTACGCGCCGCCGGTGATCTCATTGGATGGGCTCTTTGCGTCATCTACAGGGTTGTCGTCGTCCTCAGGTGTGACGCAGTCCTCGTCCACATCGACGACGAGTGGCCATGCTACTCACACCTCGTGTTCGTCGGTTCCGTCCGATTCAACCGGTTTGAAGGACTCGTCTTCATTGCTCAAGCATCAGTCCTAGCGTTTAGTTTTTGTTTTTTTTAATTTGTTTGTTCTTAGTTTAGAGTTTACGGTTGAATGGTCCGTTGATTTGGTCTTTAGTGTTGCCTAATTGCCGATGTGAGTAATGTATGTGTATTTACGCGATGGTTTGAACTTCCTTTTTCAAAAAAACTAGCTGGTGGCCCGCGCAATTGCGCGGCTAGCACCCATATAAAATTATCTATTTTTTACGTATGGTTTTACTTAAATTTGTTAAATAACTATCTCGTTATGTTAGAACTTTGAAAGACTGACTTTATCATGCCGGTGTTTTTAATAGTCACGCCAATCACTACGCCTTATTTCTTTGTCATCGCTTTATTTGCTTGCTCAATCTACCACTGTTTTCATTCATTCTTTTTGGAACCTTTACAAATTTGACCTTGTGGTTTTAGAGTTCATTGTATCGTTGGGTTTCGTTTTTATAATTTTTAGAAGTCTCGCCAAACGCCGCCACTGTACTCCTCTATGGTTCGCCCGCTGCTTCCCATTTTTATTATCGTTGAGATTTAAAAATCGAACATGATTATGATTGAAGTTTTTTTTACTTTCTAGAAATCCCGCCAATCGTCGAGACAGTGCTGCTTAACGACCTGCTCATCGTCCCTCCTCTTAATTATCATTGAAATTCTATGTGAGGTTTTGTTTATAGTTTTTAGATATCCCATCTACCTACACCACTCTATTTTTTTGTGGGTCTATTAATTCTCTCATCTTTATTATAATTTGTCATTGTTGTGTTCTGTGTGGACTATTTTTTCAAAAATCAATATTTCTCATTGTGATATTTCTTTCATTTATAAATTGTATTCCTACTTGAACTCTTATAATTATTATTTTTATTTACTTTACCACCCTCGGCATGCCCTCCTATGGCAATTGCCTCCTATCTCATTTATTTGCGTACGCTCGCCTGCCCATTGCTTCTCTTCTTTGTCATCTCTCACTACACCGGTAAGACTAAAAAATCAATCCATATTATTGATATGATTTCATTTTTTATAATTTTTTTAGAATTCCTGTAAGCCGTCGTTGCATGCCGCCTTATTTGCCGTCCCTTGGCAATATGTTTGTTTTCTTTTGATTAAATGTGGCATTTTTAGTCCTGCAAATGTGAATTAATTCTTAGATAGAATATGGTCAAGAATTGATGATCGAACATTGGCAGGCTGCCAAATACTGACCTTGATCTTGATGTCTTGATAATTTCTATACCTCATTATGTAATATTTGAAATTTATAGTATTCTTTAACCACAAAATTATCTCAAAAAAAGAAAAATTGGGAATATATTTTTGTCTTTCAATCTACGACCAACAAAACAATTAAACTTCTTACTTAACAAAATTTTGATCATACTAAACTTGCCTTTAAATGACATCGTGTGCGTGCGCGTGGCTGACTAAATCACCCGCTGCTGCTGTGCAAGGAAAGGGTGCATTGGTTGGCAGAGTGAGTTTGATTGTTAGCTGACACGTCTATGCGGTAAGTGCCAAGGAAACATATTGATTTTCCTTTTTTTTTATAAGTTTCTGGAAACAAAAGAAACGTTGACTCAGCCCTCTGTCCGGTTGGGCCATTACAGTCCGAATAGAATTTTTGTTTTGCTGTATAGTATTTTTTTTTTACATAGTTTGAGTAGGATTTGTCATGTATCCTTTCTTACTTATACTATTCTGATCAATCTCAACGGTTAAAATATAAATCTATCATGATCTAGCGGTGTAGATTTTTTCTTTTTCTTCGATTAATGTGATAATTTCTAGCCTCCACAGCGAACGTGGTGTCTTTTTTTTGAGCTGTCTTAATAATATAATAGATAGATAATGAAGGCAAGAAGATTGCCTTATATATACTGATTGATACGGCAGGGATTTGAACTTTACTGCCGTTATAATTTGTCTACAAAGAATTGTCCAGCCATTTTCTGTTCCAGCAGCAGCGGAAGTCGAGTGAGGGAGACGGGCAGAGATAGTGGCTGCAGCAGCATTAAGGGTGCGTTTGGTTGCTCGTATTCTCTTAGTCTGGCTCATCTCTTCTATCCAGGCTGAGTTTGGTCTGGCTAAAAGGATACATATGCAGCTGTTTGATTACCCGCATCCGATGAACCTGGATATGCTGAGATGATGTTTGGTTGGTTGCAGCAAAGGATTGGTGGAATGGTTGCATGCAGGAGATGTTGTTTGGTTGGATGGATACATCTTAGGTGTAAATACCCTCTCTTGTGAGTGGTGAGGTTACCCTCATAAAGTTTACATCTGTGTAGTGAGGTTACTCCGTGAGGTTGTGTTAAAATTTTATTTGGTCTTTGGCTACTATTATTTGTGAGCTAAATTACTTAGAATATTGGCATACACGTCTATTTTCTTCGGTTGGTAATTTTTGTAAGAATCGGTAAGCAGCATTGAGGAAACAAACGTGCATACAGGAAGTTGTTCACAAGGAACAGATCAAACATTTTGGTATTTGAGTATATAAAATTACATCGATGTTATACAAAACTGAACCAATTGTTATACAAGTACATACTTATTACAATCCTTTTACAGACATCTTTAAACTCAACAGCCTTATATATCTGCAATCTGGTAAAATGACAAGTGTATATAAGTATGTTCTTATGCATCACAGCTCAGTACTACTAGAATGGTATTGCCTAGAAAATTAAATATCAAACAACACAGGAGGTCAAACAAAAGGAATAAGCCTAATTTCTGATATTGCAATGCTCTGCTTTCTGAAATTTGTCCTATGAACCCAAAAAAAAAAAGATATACATGCTCTAAACAGAAATGCTATGATGGGAAAATTGATCATGCTTAGTATTTTCTGCTGCTTCCTGCTAGCCTCCTTTTTTGCTGGTTGTTTCTTCCAGATGGAACTGGGAAATCAAATGGCAGCCACAACGACTGAGTATGGAGCTGTCATCTCCAAGTGGCCATTTTCAGTTCCATGTACTTACCTTTGTTCTTCCAAGCTTGACTAAATTAGTCAGTGGATGTCAACATCTGATTATATTACAAAGACTGAAATGTAACTTATGCAGAGATTTAGAAGTATATGCTTAACAGCATAGCCAATCCATGGACCTTGTACTCCGTAATTCATATAAAAGATAATTGGACCAAGAAACATAAACACAACATCCTAAGGAGCACAACCTGAGTATGTATGTATACATCCAGTGGCATACCATCATCGACCATGGATATTTACTCAGACAAAACACAATCGGCAAAATAAGGTGCACAGCCAAAAGTGTAACACAACAGCACACCATAAAAAACAAATAAGCACCCAAAGTTTGCTCTGACATTGAACTAATATTAATCTGTATGAAACTGAAAAAACAGTAGATCTGAAAGAAAATGAACAGCTAAAAAGGATACCAACAATACACGTTGACATTGAACTAATATTCATCTAGCCATTGACACGGTTTCAATATTTAAATCTACCAAAGTCAACTAGGAAAATGTATAAGCTTTTACTAGATCTAGCAGATTTATGAAGGCCCCATACTCTCATCCACTCAAATAACAGCAAATCAACCAAATAGAGAAGAAAAAACTGGGGAAGGAGGGACAGGGAAGAGGATGCCCAACCTTGCAATGGGCGATGGATAGCCATCAATGCACTTACCCTGCTGCTCGACAGAGAGTGACAGTGGAACAACAGGCACGACGGAGAGAACTGGCAAACGAGGGGAAGGACCGACGCGGGGGCAGGAAGTGAGACGACCTCGGAACAGATGAAGGAGAGCCAGAATCGGGGGAGAGGGCTGCCGCTTATGGCCGGAGTGACGAGAAGAGCAGCGCCGCGCCGCTGCCAAAGCCTAGGTTGAACCCTAGTTTTTTTTCACGAGAGGGAGAAGTGAGGCAGGGAGGGAGCGATTCTGGGGAAGCAGTGGTGACCCCATCCCGCGAGTTGCACGCGTGGGTGCAGGCGCGGGTGAAGCGGTGCACATCGGTCGAGCCAGGCCAAGCAGCGAAGTGGGAATTGACCGTTTCTGCCGTGCCTGGCTGAGGGGGTATTTTTGCATCCGCATGGACAGGCTGGGAGGCCCGAGCAGGCAACCAAAACACCACGAATTTGCATGGACCGGTGCGGGCCAACCTTGGTGCAGGCAACCAAACAGACCCTGAACGTTCGGCCAAGAGGATTACTGGAAGCGAATTAAACGATCGGCCCATTACAATTGAAGAGGTGGCCGCCATCCTCTTCATGGGCCATGGCCTACAGAATGAAGTTGGGCTGGGCCACAACCGCTAGGAAAAGCCTGATCTACATGCCTACCCCCAATGGAAATAAGTCCACTTGATGTTCTCATCTTTCCAATAAATATGGACATCCAACGTGCAAAGCCGGGTTAAATTAGGTTTTTTGGCAGCATAGATGGCTGGTTTAACTGACAAATATAAAATGTTCAAAGCTAATCTAAGGCTATAAATAGACACCTCCAAGAGAAAATATATGTAAGTGAGAGTTTTTAAGGATTAATAAATATATTTACTTTCTTTGTGTACACTTATAAATGCACTGTTGTCTTCTTAGACAACACCATGAAAACTTAAAATCTGGACCCCGATCCATGTACAATATTTTATTTTTATCAATCCTAAATTCAGAAATCCTTTATCAAGAAAAATACTAAAAGTAAGACACCATAACAAGTACAACTCAGTATTATTAATTTAAAGCTTCATATTATTTAATAAAAAACATTTATATTCCGTAATTTCGAAGTGTGTATTAACATAAGGAAATAGAAAGTAAGGGATAAAAAGTATTATATTTTATTCTATATACCTATGATATTGTAATTACCAATTTCAAAAATTCGAAACTATCGGTTTCATTATTGAGCACTTAAAAGCAAAATACACACACTTATGCAGAACATACATATCAGAAGCCCAGCGAAACTTTTTTATCTTTATTCCCGGTAGGTAACACCAACCGGGACTAAAGATTATTTTTATTCCCGGTTTGTCTTTTGTCAGGCCGCCCAGGATCTTTAATCCTGGTTAGTAACACAGCACTTTAATCCTAGTTGGTA